CCATGATTCCACGATTCTGTGATTCCCAAGCGTGGCTCACTGGCAGGGCACCCTCACAAGGGGCGTTGTGGCATCGCTGTCGGGACAGATGGTGACAGTGGGGGTGGCTCCAGGGGACACCCAGCTCACAGGTCACATCCCGGGGCTGGTGCTCCATCCCAGCAGTGGGAAACAGCCCAGATCCCTGGGCAAACCACCCCGTCTGCCCCACAGCCTTCCCTCTAGGACCCGTGTCCAAACCCCCCCAGGTGTCACCCCCAGAGACCCCGCAGCCCCCACAGCCCAGCCCGTGGCACCACTGGGTTTTCTCGGGGGTGGAGCAGCCGCTCCATCACCGTGTCCGTGGGCAGCGGGGAAAGAGCTGAGGAGAGCGAGTGGTGTGGCCTGGAACAGGAGGGACAGCAAGGAACGCACCTTGTGGCTGAACCTCTCGAAGTTCAGGTGTTTGAGGTTGTCCTGTGGGGAACAGGAGCAGATGGAGGCCAGGACTAACCTATTTTCAAAGCAGTTCAGACTAATATTTTCTCCAGCAAGGTGTTTTTTCAAAGGTGGGTCGCTCAGCACCGTGCGACACCAGGCTCTGGTGGCTCTGGTGTCCTCTCTGTCACCTGCTGCAGGTGGCCGAGCCCCTGGCAGCATTTTTAGGACCCATTTTTAGGCACTGGATGGCACTGCCCAGCTGAGGGGCTGCAGTGACACACCGACACTGGCACAGACTTGTGGAATTCCCTGAAGGAATCTCCCCTTCGGGGAATGTGTTGGTTTTCCATGGAAGCCTCTGACAACAGCAGTGCCAGGGGTGAAACTCCTGCCTGAGGGGACCAGGGGCTTGATGAGGAGCAGGGAAGCTCCTGGTCCTGCTGAGATCAGGAATTGTACCTGAGGACTTCTCCCAGGTAAAGAGTGCCAAGACAAGAGGAAATGGCCCCAGGCTGTGCCAGGGGAGGTTCATCAGGAGGGACATCAGGAGGAATTTCTTCCTGGAAAGGGCAGTCGGGCATTGGAAGGGGCTGCCCAGGGAAGTAGTGGAGTGCCTGTGCCCTGGACGTGGCACTCAGTGCTCTGGGCTGGGGGACAAGGTGGGGATTGGGAACAGGGTGGACTGGATGTTCCTGGAGGGCTTTTCCAGCCTCAGTGAGTCTGGGATTCTGTGACTCCCCACAGGAAAGAGGAGAGAGAACCGTGTGAAGCAGGTTCAGCACAATGTGTTCCCTGCTCTGGGTGCTCACACCGTGCTCAGGAGGCAGGGACAGGGTGCTGCTCTTTGTTTGGATCTGGGATCAGATCTCCCTGCTGACAGGCAGCATTCCTCCCTGGGAATCTTTACGTGTCCCTCTCATTCCTGGGTAGCCCCGGGATGTGATTCCTGGGATCACATCACCCTGAGCAGTCATTCCCAGCTCCTTTCCACCATGGATCCTGAAGCTGCAGCTTTCTTTGGGCTCCTCCTCTCTCCCAGGCAGGGGAGGGATGCACAGGTGTCCTGACTGGGGAGAGGTGGAATCCTGGAGCTTTCCCTCCTCTGTGAAGGTGTTTTGGTCCCGCGGCAGCACCGGAGCCACAGAGGTGGCTCAGCCAGACCCACAACCCTCTGGTGAAGCTGAGCAGCAGAAGCTGATCCTTCACCCTTTGAGTGTTCCTGACCTCAGGGGGCCTTACAGCATCTCTTCTTTCCCTTTGGTGACAGATCCAGGCGGATGGGACAGATGGGAATTGTGTCACCTTCGTGCTGCACGACGAGGATCACACCCTGGGCAACTCCCTGCGCTACATGGTCATGAAGAAGTGAGTGAAGCCTCTGGCAGGGCTGAGGGAACCTCTGTGCCCTGCCCTGGCCTTCTCCTCACTGATCCACACCTCAGCTGTTGCTGGAAGGAGGCAGATGATCCCAAATCCCTGTGCACACCTGTCAGAGCCTTATGTCCCACATGGGGCCCTGCTCCCACCTCCTGCCTCTCCTGACAGGATTAATCTTTTCCTTGGACTGGGTCGGGAACCTGAGAGCACCAATAGGCCTTAATGGGCCTGACCAGGCTCCACCCACACTCTCCTTTGACCAGGAGCCCCAGTTAAGCTCAGCTCAAGGTTTTCAGTCCTTCTTGAGCTGTTGGAGAAGTAACTGGGTCTCCAGCCCAGCCTGTGCTGGGTCATGGACTCCATTTGTTGCCCACACTTGGGTTATAAGGATCTTAAAACACATCTCATTCCGTCCCTGCCATGAGCAGGGACACCTTCCACTAGCCCAGGTTGCTCCAAGCCCTGTTCCAGCCTGGCCTTGGACACTTCCAGGGATCCAGGGGCAGCCACAGCTTCTCTGCCCAACCTGTGCCAGGGCCTCCCCACCCTCACAGGAATTGGAATTCCTTCCCAATATCCCATCTAACCCTCTGTCAGTGGGAAGCCATTCCCCCTTGTCCTGTCCCTCCATCCCTTGTCCCAAGTCCCTCTCCAGCTCTTCTGGAGCCCCCTTAGGCCCTGGAAGGGGCTCTCAGCTCTCCCTGGAGCCTTCTCTTCTCCAGGTGAACCCCCCCAGCTCTCCCAGCCTGGCTCCAGAGCAGAGGGGCTCCAGCCCTTGGAGCATCTCCATGGCATCCTCTGGACTCCTCCAGCAGCTCCATGTGTTTCCTGTGCTGAGGATCCCAGAGCTGGGATGGCCAGACAGGTCCCCCCTCGTTCCTCAGTGTCATCACCCTGGGCAGGGCTGGGGGTTGGTGAAGAGCTGCTGGAGAAACCTCACAACAATTCCAGGAGGGAGTGCAAGGCACCATCTCAGACAGCAGTTGCTTTGCAGTGTCATGTGAATCCCTCTGAGAAATCTCTCTGACAAGACCAACAGCTGCTGGCAGGGAAGGGGCTCTTCTCTTTGCTGGGGGCCCCAAAGTTCTCTCACCCCTCTCAGCTGCTGGAGCAGAGGCACCTCAGTAACTCCTGCACTGCCCTGGGCCCATCAGCCTCTTTTCCTGCAGCAGCTTTGGGTACAGTGAGGCTTCCAAGCATCCAGGATTCCCTGTTTGGGCTCTGCAGGGCTGCCCCTGCACTGGTTGTGGTGCCAGGATGGTGCCTACAGGGTGCCAGCCAGGTCTTTGCCCTGCAGAGCTCCAGCTGCAGCTCGGGGACATATGGGGGGGGTGAAAGTTCCATAAGTGGTTTCCTCTCAGCAAATCCCTCCCATAAGACCCTAAATCGTGGTAGAAACACCCCAAGCTCCAGCAGCTCTTGGCTCCAGCTTCCCTGAGGTTTGCTGTGGGGTGGCCTGGCTTTCACTGCTCCCTCTCCTCTCTCCCCTCCCGCAGCCCTGACGTGGAGTTCTGTGGCTACTGCATCACACACCCCTCAGAGAGCAAGATCAACTTCAGGATCCAGACCAGAGGTAGGGCTGGGGGCTGTTCCTGCATGGCTGGGCTCCTTTTTTCATGGAATCCCCCCCTGCTCATGCCAGGTTCCCAGCAGGACTCATTTAAGCAAAGCCAAGCCCTTTCACCTCCCCTCTGCAGTGCTGTGCCCCGTGGCTGAGCCTCAGAGGCTGCTCCCAGCAGGATGCTCCAGCTCCTGTTCCCAGCTGGAGCGAGAAGCAGCTCCCCTGGCTGGCAGCAGGTTCTGGCACAGGGAGCTCAGCCCCGGGTGGGCAGCAGGAGGGGGGTGAGTGGGCACACACCAAGGGGGGAGGTGGGGACTGCCCAGGGAGAGGCCACCAGCCCTTGGGAGCCACCTCAGTGTCCCTAACCCAGCTTTTGAGCCACCTCAGTGTCCCTAACCCAGCTTTTGGAGC